GTTCGAAGCCCTCGGCTTCCGCCTCAGCAACGAGGGCTCTCTGCAGCTCCATGGCGACGACAACATCTTGTCCCACCGAGGGTTGTTCGCTTGTGGACTCCACGTCCGAGATGACTTCATCCTCCATCGAGGGCGCCCCCGAGATGTCCTGGGAATCACTTTGAGAAGACATCTTTGCACTAGTTCAAGGGCTCGGAAACGCTAAGTTTTCTAAGTTACGACTCCTAGATCTAAGGCCGCTACAGCTAGCTAAGGAGAGAGAAGAACAGATGGGGAACTGACCTTAAAGCGGGGATTGATCGAAGGCAGTTGTTTCTCTCTCTAGAAATTTTAGCAGAGCTTCGCTACAATGGTATCGCACAAGGGGAAGTGAAGCCGGCCATGGGGTATTTATAGGCGCTGGGATCCGGGCTTGGGCCTGGAAACCGGGCCTCCGGTTGGACTGCCATCATTGCGAACCGTGGTTTCTCCCAATCGGTGATGCCCGCGCACGGGCAGCCAACGAGCACACACCACGTGGCAACCCCCCCCCCCCCCCCAACGGCTATATTCTGACGTTAGATATTCCAACGGCTATATTTCCAACGGCTATATTCTGGGAGCTCCCGGCTACACTTGACAGATCAGTCCTTCATCAACCAAGAAACACTGGCCTCGGGCTTTTTACTTCACTCCACTTCATCAAGAAGAGCCCCCGGGTACACTTACCCGGAGACACTCCCGGTTTGTGCCCCACACACTACATAACAGATGCCTTCGGGATCACTCCTTCAGAAGCCCAAGGCTTCATATCAGGCCACCCCTCGGGGAACCCCCTCAGCACTTTGAGGGCCGGATAGCCTACGACACACAGGTAACGGGAGCCCTCGGATACCCTCCTCACCAACTAATCAACAAACAGGGGACACCCCGGTAACACTTCAACTACTACTCGCATTCATTACGCCCTCGATCCCCGGATTGAGGGACCCCCCTTCGGCACCTCCCAGGTCATCAACAACAAGCCTCCGGCTAATCAACACATGAGCCCTCAGAACAAGGAAAGCCTTCGGCATCAGCATTATTCTCCATTTCGAACCAAGGTTTCACATTTTCGATTCATCGTTGGGGGAATTCGGTGCACTCTTTTTCCCTCATTAGGATTTTTTCCCACAGGGTTTTTCCTAATGAGGTTTTTAACGAGGCATCCCCCCAAAATGAAACGAAAAGCGTCAGCCTTCGGCCAAAAACAGCAACGCAACTACTCTACTCCTTTTCACCACTTTGCAAGTGCCTCAAGGAGTGGGGGACTGGAGGACCCCCTCGAGAAAACTCACAAAAATCACAAACATGACCCCTCAAGTCCCGACATGTGGGTAACTGAGGGACTGCCCTCGGCAGAATAAACAAACAACAAACTACACACAACTCTAAAAACTACAAACGGAACAACGGCAGAGGACAAACACAATTACTCCTTTTCCCTCAAGTACCTATCGTCAAAAGGAGTGAGGGACTACTGATGGAGTATATGGCCCGGGAACCCCCGGCCCACAAACTCTTATTACTCCAATAAAGGTCCAACAGGCCCAGAAAGCACAACAGGCCCAAATCACAGCGCCCAGAGTACCAAGCAGCCCACAATATGCACCAGGGGTGCCTTCGGCCCCCTGGCCGAAGGCTCTAATTCTCACAGGAGGGCCAAGACAGGAAAACAAGGTTACTGGGAAAAACGGCGGAAATTAGTAGCCCTCGGCAGTTGGAGCCCTCGGCACTAAGGGGGTCCCCGGTACTCAGAGCCCTCGGCTAGTCATCTACTGCCGAGGGCGCCTTTTCTGACATAATATCCGCTCCACATGCGTATGGATCACTGTACCCTGTACAACGTCCCATCAGACAGCCGCATTAAATGCGGCCACATGCGTTTGCCAGCGCCAACCAGTTGAGGTGACCTCTCGGCCAATGGACGCTTGACACGTGTCCCTGTCCAGCATTTATTGCTACTATAAATAGCACCCCATTTCCCCATTTGTAACCACGCTAAAAACACTGAACACTTTCTAATATACTTTCTCTCTCTATACTTACTTACTCTGACTTCTCTCTAGTTATTCTCCGTAATAACCCCTCGGATAAGCTACCCCCCGGGTACACTATCCATCACCGATCAAATTGATCGATCATCACTTTTTTCAAAAACAAAGACACATTATATCATATGGTGATATGTACTTGTATGAATTGTCAATTAAATTTGTAAGTCTTTTAATGAAAATTCTTTATAACACAACTAATTAATGGAGGAAATTGGATGTGATTGATGGACTAATGTTAAAATTTTAATAATAGTAATCAAGTCCTTTTGAGACTAGAATATTAACTTTAATTTAAGTTGAAATGGGTAGGCAAATGACAAATCATGAGTGCATCTGTGATGTTTATGTTTGTGAAATTTCTTTATCTCACGACTAATTGAGAGAAGTTCAATATGACTGCATGATTGTTATTCCAACTATATGTATATGACATATAGAATTACAGAAATATAAACATGTCACTGATGGATAGAGTACCCGGTGGATAGCTTATCCGAGGGGTTATTACGGGGAGTAATAAGAGAGAAGTCAGAGCAAGTAAATATAGAGAGAGAAAGTATATTATAAAGTGTGGAGCGTTTTCAGCGTGGTTACAAATGGGGAAATGGGGTGCTATTTATAGTAGCAATAAATGCCGGACAGGGACACGTGTCAAGCGCCCATTGGCCGAGAGGTCACCTCAACTGGTTGGCGCTAGCAGCCGCATGTGGCCGCATTTAATGCGGCTGTTGGATGGGACGTTGTACAGGGTACGGTGATCTGTACGCATGTGGCGCGGATATTATGTCGGGAGAGGTGCCCTCGACTGCAGAGGACCAGCCGAGGGCTCTGAGTGCCGGGGACCCCCTGGGTGCCGAGGGCTCCAGGTGCCGAGGGCTACTGCTTTCTGCCGTTTTTCTCTAAGTTTCTTAGTTTGCTTGAAAACCCGTTCTGTGAGAGTTTGAGCCTTCGGGCAGGGGGCCGAAGGCTCCCCAGTGTGCGCTGTGGGCTGCTAAGTGCTTGGGGCGCCGTAATTTGGGGCCTGCTGTGCTTCCTGGGCCGGTTGGGCCTTTATTGGTGTAGTAGGAGTCTGTGGGCCGAGGGTTCCCGGGCGATATACTCCATCAGGAGTCCCTCACTCCTTTTGCCGAAAGGTACTTGAGGGAAAAGGAGTAATTTGTGCTTGCCCTTTGATGTTGTCCCGTTGTAATCTCTGAAGTTGGTGAGGAGTCATTGCTTTCATGTCCCTGTCGAAGGCAGTCCCTCAGTTACCCACATGTCGGGACTTGAGGGATTGCTTTGCCGTTTGTTGGAATTTTTCACCATTTTGTAATTTAATGATTTTCCCGAGGGGGTCCTCCAGTCCCCCACTCCTTGAGGCACTTGTAAAGTGGTGAAAAGGAGTAGAGTAGTTGCGCTGCTGTTGTGGGCCGAAGGCTGACGCTTTTCGTTTCATTTTGGGGGGATGCCTCGTTAAAAACCTCATTAGGAAAAACCCTGGGGGAAAAATCCTAATGAGGGAAAAAGAGTGCACCGAATTCCCCCAACGATGAATCGAAAATGTGAAACCTTGGTCAAAAATGGAGAATAATGGTAATGCCGAAGGCTCTCCTTGTTCTGAGGGCTCATGTGTTGAGTAGCCGGAGGCTTGCTGTTGATGTCCTGGGAGGTGCCGAAGGGGAGCCACTATATCTGGGGATCGAGGGCGTGATGGATGAGGGCAGTAGTTGAACTGTTACCGGGGTGTCCCCTGCTTGTTGATTAGTTGGTGACGAGGATATTCGAGGGCTCCCGTTACCTGTGTGCCGTAGGCTATCCGTCAATGAGGCATACTCCCCGGGGGCTACCCGGCCCTTACAGTGCTGAGGGGGAATCCCCGAGGGGTGGCCTGATATGAAGCCTTGGGCTTCTGAAGGAGTGATCCCGAAGGCGACTGTTATGTACCGTGTGGGGCACAACCCGGGGGCGTCTCTGGGTAAGTGTACCCAGAGGCTCTCCTTGATGAAGTGGAGTGAAGTAAGAAAATCTGGGGGCTCCCAGAATATAGCCGTTGGAAATATAGCCGTTGGAATATGTAACGTCAGGATATGGCCGTTGGGGGGTACACGTGGCGCGTGATGGTTGGCTGTCCGTGGGCGGCGTCACCGGTTGGGTGAAGACACGGCGTGTAATGATGACAGTCCATCCGGAGGCCCGGTTTCCAGGCCCAAGCCCGGATTCCAGCGCCTATAAATACCCATGGCCGGGCTTCCTTCCCCTTGTGCGAAATCCTTATAACGAAGCTCTGCCAAATTTTCTAGAGAGAGAAACAGCCGCCCTCGATCATATTCTAAGGTCAGTTCTCCATTCACACTTCACCTCTTAGCTAGCTGTCTTTGTGGCCTTAGATTAGGTGGGTAGCTTAGAGTACTTAGCGTCTCCAAACCCTCGACGTAGTATAGCAATGTCTTCACAGAGTGATTCTCAAGACATCTCGAGGGCGCCCTCGATGGAGGATGAAGTCCTCTCGGATGTGGAGTCCTCAAATGAACAGTCCTCGGCCCAGGAGGATGTTGCGATGGCAGTAGAAGTGCAGAAGGAGCTGTTGGCTGAAGTTGAAGCCGAGGGCTTCGAGCAGGAGGTGGAAGACGAAGAGCTGGCCCTCGCCATGCAGGTTGCAGAGGAGGAGGAAGCAAAGGAGAGGACGAGGGTGACCGTGGCCGTCCTTCCCCCTCAGGGTGCCGGTGAGGCCAGCACCTCTCGGCCGCTGAACGCGGTTCCCATCCGGGTGGCCCCCGGAAAGAAGAAGGCCAAGGTAGCTGCTCCCAAGAAGAAGGGCAGCGTTGCAGATCAAGGGAAGCCCCTCGATATGCTCGAGGGGTACTCCTACCTGAACACCGCCGCCTTGGAAATAAGGTCGAAGGTTGATGCGGTGGACATCTACGTTACTCAGCTTCACGTGGGCCCCTCGGCCATCGTGGTGACACCGGGTCCAGATGACGTCCTCTCCCGGGCTCCCGAGGGCTGTATTGCGGTGCACGTTCTCTCGGTGTCCATGGGGCTCCGCTTCCCCCTGCACCCTTTCCTCCGGGAGTACCTCCGGTTCGTGGGTCTGGTCCCCTGCCAGCTGACCCCGAACAGCCATTCCTACATTACTGGCTTCCTCCAGCTCTGCAAGTCCCGGGGGGTGACGCCTAGCCTGGACCTCTTCTTCCAGAGCTTCAATCTGTGCTGGGGGGCATGCGAATGTCGAGGGCTTCACAAACTTGCAGCAGGTGGCAATGTTCAAGCTCTTCACTGAGGCGCCCTCCTCGAACAAAAGGGTGGAAGGACCGGTGGTGCTACGTGAAGCTGACCGAGAGCCCCTTCCAGAGGGAGTTGCGTGACCGTTTCAGGAGGCACGAGAAGAGGAGGAGCGCCGCCCTCGAGAAAGACAGCCGGATTCTGGCCATGATCCCGGAGGGCCGGGACAAGAATATTACCATTAAGGAGTGCACCAAAGAGGGAGATCTCTACACCCTCGGGTTCCGGCGGTATCGCTTCCTGGGGGAGACAGATGAGAAGTTCCCGGTGTTTGAGGGAGCCTCCGGAGGTAGTGGCTGAGGGCACTCTCACCTTCATATCTTAGCACATAGTTCATTTGCTTGTTTGTTTATTCTTTATGCCATCTGTTAGTGACCCCTCGATTTTAACCCCACATTGTTTTTGCAGGTGTCAATATGGATCTCAATGCCTTCGCCAACCTCAAAAAGCAGAAGGTGAAGGTCCCGGGCCAGAAGGAGCCCGTCAAGCAGAAGCCCCTCGGGGAGATGAAGAAGGGCGGTGAGCCCTCGGGGGAGGCCGCAAAGCGGAAGGCTGCCGGCAAGGCCCCAATCCCCGAGGGGAAGAAGCAGAAAAAGGGGGACGCCGGGAAGAAGGCTCCCCTGGTGGTGGTGGTGGACGAGCATTCCGCCTCCGAGCCCAGTGCTCCGACTGCTCCTTGCCCGCCCTCGGGTAAAGGTGGCGAGGTAAGCTTGCCTCGGGAGGACATACAGTTCTCCCTGCCGAAGGGGTCTGCCATTACGCATGGCATAGTGGACCCCCGGGAATTTCTGGGCGGGGCTACACCCGCTCTGGACAGGCGGGCCCTCGGGAAGCTGGATGATGAAGCCCTGGAGTCCAAAATCCTCCGGTCCTCTCTTACCGTAAGTTCTCCTCCTTCCTCTCTTCTTCTTTCTTTTTCCTTAGCATCATGGCCCATGACTTTATCTGTTGGTGTGATCATAATTTTAACTCCTTGCTTTGTTGTTTGTCTAAACAGGCTTGCATAGCCCTCGGCGAACACGCCAGGAGGTTCGACGAGTGGCGCCTCCAGAAGGCGCAACAGGAGGAGTCCCTCAAGAAGCTTATTCACGATAATGCCGAGGCCATGAGGCAGATGGCTCAACTGGAGAGGGACCTCCAGCAGGCGAGGGCGGAAGCAGAGAGAGCGGCCAAGGAGAGGGTGGAGATGGAGAAGGCGGCTGCCGAGGCTGCGAAGAAGGCCCTTGAAGACGCCGAGGCCGCAAAAGCAGAGGCCGCCGCTGCTGCAGTCGCTGCCTTCATGACCGAGGGCTGGAAGGCCGAAGGCCATAAAGACTAGGTGGCCTCGGTCATGGAGAGTTCTGCCGACGGGTGGGTGAAGGGTCTCGGGGCGATGTGGCTAGCCCGAAAGGGTGAAGATTACTATGCCGGGGGGGAGTTCTTCACCCAGGCCCTAATCTACAGGAGGCTCGCCCGGCACCTAAAAATAGAGCCAACGGCCTTCGACCCGACGACATACGGTCTCCCCCTCCCTCCAGCCTGATATCAGAGTCCCCCTTCCCGAGGGCGTCGAGAGGCCGGAACTGGAAGATTCAGAACTCCTGAAAGAGGCTGAGGGCGATGAGGCAGAGGCTGATGCGGAGGTCATCTCGAAGCCTGCGGAAGAGGCTGCCCCCGGTGTTGACAATATGTGATATGTACTTGTAGTGTTTTGAATACCTTTGCTTTTTGTTTGTAATGAATATTCGTTTACTCTCGGCCTCGGCCATATTGTAACATATATACTTTAACTCCTCCCTGAATGCATGAATGTTGGCCTTCGGGCATTTTGTATAGTTCGTTTCCTCCGAGTGTTTTTCCTTGAATGTATGCCTTCGTCTCGTTTTGAATGTATGCCTTTGCTCCTTTGAATGTACGCTTAGGACTTAGGGAATATTCTTCCAAGTGTTTGTTCATCTGTTGGCCCCCGGCTGATCCTTCCCTCCGGTTCTTTGTAGTCTTTATGAGATAAACAGAGGTGAGGAGCTTAGGTCTTAGAAAATTTTTCTAAGTGTTTGAATACAGTTGTATCCTTCGGTAGTTGGACACCCTTCACTGGATATACAACCGAGGGCTCATCAATAGTTAGGACTTAGAAAATTTTTCTAAGTGTAGCACACCATAGGGCCTTCGGGTGTTTGTAGTTCACTTGTTGTGAGATGATTAGATTGAGAACCCAATCCTTAGGACTTAGAAAGATTTCTAAGTGTAGTCACCATTGGAAGCCCTCGGCTGGCAGCCTCCTTCCTAATGTGTGAATATTTGACCAAGGGCCAAATATGTAGGACTTAGAAATTTTTGTAAGTGGGTTGTGGATGTTGAACCTTCGGTCAGTGAGGAGTCTATCCGAGGGGCAAATATTCAGGACTTCAAAAATTTTCTAAGTAGACCTCAGATGTTGAGCCTTCGAGTGGTCCCGATAGGAGCCCTCAAATCATTGGGTGAACCTTCCTGTTGCGTGGATATTTGGCCGAGGGCTTGGAAAAATTCCTACGCGTGGCTTCCCATCGGAAACCTCCGGGGTGATAGTCTTCTCCTTGATGAATAAGTAGTTGACCGAGGAAAAAATATGTAGAACTTAGAAAATTTTCTAAGTGATGTTGCATCACGTAGCCTTCGGCTATCATGGTTCCCCTAGTTGAAATATTGATCAGGCTGGGGGCTCAATCTTCAGGACTTAGAAAAATTTCTAAGTGTTGCTTCCTTGTGTAGCCTTCGGTTAGTAGTGTTTTCCACTTAAGATTTCCCGAGGGCGACATTATTTTGGAATAATCCCCCTTGGTTGGCCTTTGATGATTTGTAATAGATGCCTTCGATTGTTGGGTGATATTTGAGCCTCCGGCTGTTGTCATTTTTTCAAAAGTGTGGACTTAGGAAAATTTGTAGGACATTGATGTTGTAGTGAATGCTGGTGGGATGTAGGTGCCCTCGGCATTCACTTGAAGGGTTCTTGAGCTGCCTTAGTCAGTTGCATCCCCTTTTACAGGATAGGACCCCTCGGTAGCAATGGATGACCGATGGTAGGTGCCCTCGGCACTTATTTGAAGTGAACTTAGCCGTTTAGTGTACTTGAGACAGTTCCATCCCTTTGTATTGTTGAGTAGTAACCTTCGGGAAATAGGAGCCTTCAGTTACCGGGGGTGTTCCCGTAGGGAGCCCTCGGTATGTTGTGATTTGTTGGCGTGTTGTACTCACTGATTTCTCGATGAGTCTACTCCCCTTCACCCCCTCTTTTTTTTTGTTGGTGGTGAAGGGAAGGCATCAAGAAACTTGGTTTCTTGGTAAGGCTGGCCTATCAGGAGACCATCAGAATACACCAATGGCTCTCCTCCCTCGGGTTAACCTTCCGAGTTCTGAGGGGATCGAGGGTCGTTTCCTGGGCACAAGATATGGTGGTCTGTAACCTGCCTCCCCTTGGGGGATGGCGCGGAAAGTGCCTCAGTTTGGAAAGTCGTCCCCTCGGCGCTAGACATAGTCCGTGGCCTGCCACACCCTTGGGGTGGTAGCGCGGGGAGCGTTTCGGTTTGGAAGTCGAATCCTGGGCATTTCTCGTGCCTGTCATACCCTTGGGGTGATGACGCGGAAAGCGTTCCGTTTTTGAAAGTCGAATCCTGGGCATTTCTCATGTCTGTCGTACCCTGGGGGTAGTGACGCGGAAAGCATTTCAAGGAAGGGTTTTCATTTGCACACTAGTTGCAAATGGCCGGGGGCACTACGTGCCGCCGGCACCGATGGTGGTGCCTTCGGTATATGTGTCCTCGTGGGGTACGGCTTTTAGAAACAACACTTGGTGTTAGTTTCGATATGTAGCCCCCCGGTACTTGGTACCGAGGGGTCTTCTGTAGGAACACTTAGTGTTCTTCTTCTATGTGACGTTGATGGGTGAGATGTGTACCCCCGGTACTTGGTACCGAGGGGTCTTCTGTAGGAACACTTGTTGTTCTTCTTTTCGATGTTGATGGTGGAGATGTGTACCCCCGGCACTGGGTGCCGAAGAGTCTTGAAATGAAACACTTGGTGTTTCCTGTTGCCGGTGATGGGAGTCCCCACCTTCGGTACTTGGTACCGAGGGGTCTTGTTTGAAACACTTGGTGTTTTCACTGTTGTTGAAGGTGTTGATGGTGTCCGCCCTCGGCACTTGGTGCCGGAGGGGGTTCTTCTCGTGGTGAGGCCTGGGGCCTGTAGTTGGTATGAGGGCTTGGCCGCTCATAAGTGTTTTGCGGTTGTTCTTGGTGTCTTGAATGTGTCTTCATTCTTCAAAATTGGAGGCCTTGGGCCATAGGATAGTACATTCACTAGTTATGAGGGCTTGGCCGCTCTTACATTATTGATAAAATTTAACTAAGTGGTGTATATTCCAGTGCCTAGGGACTTCTTTCCCGTTGGGGCGTTTGAGCTTGTAAGTCCCAGGTTTGATGATGGCTGCTATGATGTAGGGGCCTTCGAACTTTGGTGCCATTTTGCCTCCCTCGGTCGGTTGGCTGGCTTCCCTCCTCCGGAGGACATAGTCCCCCACTTGGAATTCTCGGGTGCGAACCTTGGCGTCGATGAAGCCTTTGACTTGCCTTCGGTAGTTTTCTGCCCGGATGAAGGCTTGCTCCCGGCGTTCTGAAAGGAGGTGGAGGTCGAGGACCATGTTGCTGTCGTTGACCTCGGGGTCATATTGGATCACCCTCCGGGTGGGAAGGGTGACTTCCGTAGGAGCTTTGGCTTCAAACCCGTAGCAGAGGGAGAAGGGTGTTTCACCTGTTGCTCGTCGAGGGGTGGTGCGGTAGGCCCAAAGGATGTTGTGGAGTTCTTCCACCCAGCCACCGCCCTCAGCCTCCAGCTTCTTTTTTAGGCCCTCGAGCAAGGTCCGGTTGGCGTTCTCTACTTTCCCGTTTCCTTGAGGGTAGGCAATGGAGGAGAAGGTGTGTTTGATGCCCCATGCCTCCAGAAGGGCACAGAAGGGGGCTACCTCAAATTGTGTTCCGTTGTCGGAGATGAACTGCTGGGGGACGCCAAACCTTGTGAGGATGTTCTTCAGGACGAAGTGACGGCACTTCGCCTCTGTGATGCTGGCGAGGGGCTCAGCCTCCACCCACTTGGTAAAGTAGTCGATGGCCACAATGATGTACCTGTCGTTGGAGGTACCCCTCGGCAGAGGGCCCACAAGGTCTACCCCCCATCGAGAAAAGGGGACGGATGTGCTGATGGGGGCATAGTTGACCGCTGGCCTGCCGGGGGCTTTCTGGAAATGTTGGCATGCGGTGCACCTTCGGGCAAGGTCAGCACAATCCCTGGCCATGGTTGGCCAGAAGTAGCCCTAGAGAATGAGCCTTCGGGACATGGAGAAGGGTCCCTAGTGAGCTGAGCAAGTGCCACTGTGCACCTCCTCCATCGCGACCTCGGCTTCATCTTGATGAAGGCACCGAAGTAGCGTGCCGTTGTAAGACCGTTTGTAGAGCCTTCCGTCTTCGATGGTGTAGCTAGGAGCCCTCAGCTTTGCTAGTTTAGCGTGGGTCTCGTTTTCGGGTAGCTGCCCTGTGGAGATGAAGGTGATGATATCCGAGATCCAGTCCTCTTGGCGTTGTTGTATGTTCATGACGGGGCTCGCATGGATACTCGAGAGACTGAGTTCCTCAATTTTAGCAATCTTAGAGATGTGCTCGGGGGAGTCGGCTGAGAGCTTAGATAGTATGTCGGCCTCGGAGTTCTGAGCCCTCGGTATTTGAGTGAGAGAGTGTGCCTCAAATACCTTAAGCAATTCCTTGGCCGCCTCCTTGTACTGTTTCATCCTTCCCTCCTTGGCCTCATACTCCTCGGAGATTTGGCCAACGACCAACTTGGAGTCGCATTTGATATGGATCTGCCGAGCCTTCATGTTGGCAGCCAGCCGAAGGCCACACAGGAGGGCCTCATACTCGGCCTCGTTATTGGAGACTTTGAAGGAGAAGCGGATTGCATAGTAGGCCTTGAAGCCCTCGGGAGTAACGAGGACTACCCCTCCCCCGCATGCTTTGGTCGCGGAGGAGCCGTCGGTATAGAGGGTCCACCAGTCGTCCGAGGTAGCCGAGGGCTTCCCGTCCGTGGCTTCCCTTGCGGTACACTTCGTCACAAAGTCCGCCAGGGCTTGGCCCTTGATGGCAGGCCTCGGACGAATGTCAATGTTGTATTGGCTCAGGAAGATAGCCCATTTCACCATGCGGGAGGAGCTGGTGGGGCTCCTCATGAGGGCGCCGAGGGGTTGATGAGTGAGGACATGAACCGGGTGAGCCTGAAAGTAGTGGCCCAACTTCTTGACGGTCCAAACGATGGCTAACACCGTTTTTTCCACAGGAGAGTACCTGAGCTCGGCCTCCCTCAGGGTCTTGCTTACATAGTAGATGGCATGTTGGATGCTGTCTTCCTCCCGGATGAGTACGGAGCTGATGGCTGCCGGGCTGACCCCAAGGTAGAGATAGAGGGTCTCCCCTACCTTTGGCTTGGAGAGCACAGGGGGTGAAGATAGATATCGTTTGAGCTCGTCGAAAGCCCCCTGGCATTCTGGAGTCCATTGAAAGCCAGCCGTCTTCCTCATGATCTGGAAGAAGGGTAAAGACCTCTCCGCCGATTTAGATAGAAAGCGGTTGAGGGCTGCCAGGCGGCCCGTCAACCGTTGAACTTCCTTCACATTGCGTGGGGGCTCCATGTTGATGTTGGCCTGGATCTTCTCGGGATTGGCCTCAATACCCCTTCGGCTCACCATGTAGCCTAATAATCTTCCCCCTTGGACGCCGAAGGTGCACTTCTTCGGGTTTAGCCGAAGGTTGAACTTTTGCATGATGGCGAAGATTTCCCGGAGGTCGTCGGCATGGCTGGAAGATTGTTTGCTT